CAGTGATGGTGAACCTATGACACGCGTGTCAGAGGTGACACGTGAACTCATTTTTTTGGTTGATTTTTCTTTGTTAAATGGCATTTAAATATATAAAATAAATATCAAAAATATAAGTCTTTGTTTTACTATGGTTGCAAATATCAAACAATTTCTATATGTGACACGGCACCAGAGTTAAGTTAGGGTTTTTCAAAATGCTGACACGCCAAGCTCAAAAGGTTCGCCATCACTGATCTATAATAATAAAAGCATAACATGCAAATTGACTGTACGACCAAACAGCAAAACGACCATCCGGACGACCTTCCGGACAACCACGCTATGACACGCACTGGCGCCAGGCCAGCCAAGGCTGGTGCAATGTGATTGGTCGGGGGGCTCAGGCTACCCTGTAAGAGACTTCGATTTTAATTGTCAATCTGTATTCACATAATTAGTTGCATAATGGATTACATGAATTCTTGGGTGAGCCATTTAAAACTTAGTCCTTTAATGTTATTGATAGTCATATCATATCAAATCCCTAATCATCTTTGTGGGTATGAAGATAACTATTGCGAAGACAAGTGTAACATATCACTTTTTCCTAATAAAATGTGATAAAATATAATTTTCCAGTTATTTCACAAAAATAAGTCTGTGTTGTATAATATGTAGAGAGCAAGAGTTAAGATTGGAGTTCTGGGCAATCAGCTAGCCTTAACTCACTAGCTTAGAGACTCATTCACTTTTATGTGGAAGAACCACCCTAAAGTGGTTCATATATCAACAGAATTACAGATTTTATAGGTCTTTGGACTTTGGAATTGTTTGTGAATAGTTGAAATCATGTCAATGTTCATAAATGTTAGAGTATTACTAATTACTTTTTGGCTTTTGCAAATATTTTTAAATATTTAACCTTATTAAATATTTTAGGGTTATTTAATTGATGTATTTTTCATTAAAGCAGTTATAGGAGCATTATAATAAAGTAAATAAAACAACAAATAGAAATTTATGAAAACATTCATTTTTCCTCTCCCTCAGTCCCAGGAGTATCTCCTGTATCCTTCCAGATTTCTCCCTATGTATATCCTCATAACTTAATTAACTGTTCCTTTATTACTTGAGATATCTCTTTCTCAAAAACTCCTAAGCTGTTTTTAATCACAAAAACAGTAATAAGGGCCGAACAGTAATAGAACGAAATATAAAGATTTACAATAAAAAGTATAAATCTACTTCCCCACTTCCCTACAAAACACCTTCCTACCACCAAGAAGAATCTGAGGTTACTTTGATTTAGAGCAGTGGTTCTCAATCTGTGGGTCGCGACCCCTTTGGCGGTCAAACGACCCTTTCCCAGGGGTCGCCTCAGACCATCCTGCATATCAGATATTTACATTACGATTTATAACAGTAGCAACATTACAGTTATGAAGTAGCAACGAAAATAATTTTATGGTTGGGTCACAACATGAGGAACTGTATTTAAAGGGCCAGAAGGTTAAGAACCACTGATTTAGAGGAATAGATGTTTATAAATTTGACTGTGCTTCAAATCCTGATGTATTTTTATAGGATGTTGTCTTGGAGCTGGAATTTGAAGGTGTAAAGGATAAGTTCAGCATGGTACAGGTATGGCCTGTACGTCAAGTTCGGCCTGTCACTGAGAAGTTGCCTGCCAATCATCCTTTGTTGACTGGCCAGAGAATCCTTGATGCCCTTTTTCCGTAAGTTTGAGTTGTGTCCCAGTTTTCCCTGAGTTATTATCACCATAGTAAGCCTAATAACTATCTGCCATCATGCAAAGTTACTATAGTATTGACATATTGCCTGTGCTGTATGTTATATCTAGATACTTATTAGGTAAAGGTAATAAGAGCACATAGTGTTGCCCTGGCCTGCTTGGCTCAGTGGATAGAGCGTCAGCCTGCGGATTGAAGGGTCCCAGGTCGATTCCGGCCAAGGGCACATGCCTGGGTTGCAGGCTTGATCCCCAGTGGGGGGCGTGCAGGAGGCAGCCAATCAATGATTCTCTCTCATCATTGATGTTTCTATCTCTCTCTCTACCCTTCCTCTCTGAAATCAATAAAGAAATATATTTTAAAAAAGAGCACATAGTGTTTATTTTTTGAGAGGAAAATATTCTTTATAAATAAATATTTTATGTGCTAATCCTATAATACATTTTATCTAGAGAAATTCTTTACTTTCCCCTTTGTACCTTCCACTGTTCTCCTCATTTTCACAGCCACATCTCTGGAAAGAATGAATAGTTCTTTCCACCTTTCCCTCTCTAATATACCATACTACTCTGCCCTTGGATCCACCACTCAACTGAAACTACTCTCACTAACATAGTCAGTCACTCCCATACTTAATAATTCAATAAGTAGGCTTTATTTCGTTCTACTCCTTCCCCTTTGAAACATCTTCTTTCTTTGTTCTTCCTGTTAGCTTTTGTCCACAAGTTCTAATTCTTCATTGCAGGTTTATTCTCCTTAATTTTGCTATTTCATAGTGTTTTCCCTCTTTTAGGGCCTTTTTTCTCATCATTATATATCTTACCCTCTGAGGATAACTTCATCCACTCTCATCACTTAAATATTCATATATAGAATATACCAGGTATAGTCTCCAACATCTGTTTCTTCATCCCAAATTTCTTCTGCATTCCAGACTCATATATAAAACACTTCTGATTATACCTCTCCTTTTCAATGTCCTACAGGTGCCTCAAAGTCAGTATGTTCAAAACTAAAGCAATTATCTTAATCACCACTTCCTTCCTTACAACTTGCTCATTTTTCTTTGCTGCCTCTCTCAGCAAATGTCATCATCCATCCATCCTCCCAGTGAATGCCTAATTTAAAATCTGTTACTTCTCTCAAGGATAGCTTTTACCCTTCCACATCTCATTATTGAACAAGTGCTTTTATTCTTTTCCCTAAATATTTTTTGTCTGTATCTTTCCTCCCTGCTTCATGACCCTAATTAAGGCTCTTACCATAATTCCTGCAATAATCACATTTAATCAGACTTGCTATCTCCAGTCTTGCCTTCTTTCTAAGTGGTTGTCCTTATTAAATAGTGATCCATTTAAAACACATGTCTGTTCCTCACGGTTTTCTTGAAAACCTTCAGTGCTCTTCATTGCTTTTAAAACAAATACAAATACACACTCCTTAACTCTTTACAAAGCTACCCATGATCTGGGCATTGCTTACCTTTCAATATTGTTTCAGGCACTTAATTGCCTAGCTACTTCCTTTTGTACCATCTTCTAGGCATACTGAGGACTGTTAATTCCTCAAGCAGTGCTCCCTCTTGGATCTTGGCCATGCTGTTCCCTCTGCTGAAAATGTTACTTCCCTTTATCTGACTAATTTCTCTTTCCTTTCTAGTCTTATCTACTTTCAGGGAGACTTTCCTAACCCCACTCCAATCCAGTGTTAGACTGTGCGCCGGTTCCTATGTATTCCCACAACACCTTGGTTGCTTTCTATGATAGCACTTTCACATTGGGTTGCATTGCTAAACTTCCAAACTGGGGCACACCCAGCCCTGCCTCCCCTCCCTAGGTTAATAGTGATTTGAAAGAGGTATGTAAAGCCATAGGATGAATGGGCATGCCTTCTGAATTTATCAGTCACTGAAAGATTTGGAGGAGAAAAGATTTTAATGCATGTTTTATATTGAAAAAAGTCAATTATTATTAAGGATGCAGTGTTTTAGTGAATTTTTATGATAAAACACAATATTATAAAGAAATTTCCCTTATTGTCACATCTCATTTCTCCTGCCCAGACCTTCCCACCACACACACACACACACACACCCTCACAACATTCACTTTCCTCTGCCCTTAAGATTATTTCACTGTCCACTGCCACATTTTAGGGAAAGTGTGGAAGTGGCTGCTAAGTAGTACTGCAATCATCAACTGACTGCAGTTTACCCCACTGTTAGGTGAGTGCTCTGAATACAGAAACATGGCTATCTTTTTTTTTTTTAATCCTCACTCAAGGATATGTTTTTTATTGATTTTTTGAGGGAAGGGGGAGGAGAGAGAAAAATGGGAGGGAGAAGGAGAGGGAAAGAAAGAGAAACATCAGTGTGAGAGAGAAACGTGCCCTACCGTGGATGGAACTGGCAACCTAGATATGTGCCCTGACCGGAAATCGAACCCACAACCTTTGGAATTCAAATCCAACTGAGCCACCTGGCCAAGGCAAACATTGCTATCTTATTTTCTGTTGTCTTTCTAGCATCTCCATGCACATTTTTTAATGTCCTGGAAGTACTTTGTAAATAGTTATTGAATGGATAAAAGGGGTTGACTGAATACCTTATCGAAAGTTTTTGTTCATTCACAGCAAGTCGTGAATTTAAAGTCTTCCTTTTTACCTCAGGAGACAATTTTCAAAAGTCTTTTATATTTTTATTGTAGCTCTAATTCATAGGTTGTCCTTTCATGAACTAATTTCAATAAGCATTCAGAATATCATTAATACTATTTTATTTATCCTTTTTTGTGTGTATCCCTTTTCCTAAGGTACCTTGTGGAATCTACTTTCACTTTTCAGCTATTCAAGCTGATAGAGATGATCAGTGATTAACAAACAATACTATTATAGGTACTAACTAGGGGAGCAATTATCTATACTAATAAAAGGGTACTATGCTAATTAGACCGGATCAACTGGATGTCTTCCGGACGTCCGATGTCCTTCCAGACAAAGCCACGGTGGCGGGGGCTGAGGCAGAGGCGGTTAGGGAGGATCAGGCCGGCAGGGGAGCAAGTGGTTAGGGGCGAGATCAGGCTGGCGCGAGGGAGTAAGCAGTTAGGGGCGAGATCAGGCTGGTGTAGGCGAGCAAGCAGTTAGGGGCGAGATCAGGCCAGTGCAGGGGAGCAAGCAGTTAGGGGTGAGATCAGGCCCGTGGTGGGGAGCAAGCAGTTAGGGGCAAGATCAGGCCAGTGGAGAAGCAAGCAGTTAGGGGCGAGATCAGGCCAGCAGGAGAGCAGTTAGGGGCGATCAGGCAGGCAGGCAGAGATGGTTAGGGGCGATCAGGTCAGCAGGGGAGCAGTTAGGGGCGATCAGGCCAGCAGGGGAGCAGTTAGGGGCAATCAGGCAGGCAGGCAGAGGTGGTTGGGGCAATCAGGTCGGCAGGAGAGTAGTTAGGGGCATCGGGCTGGCCAGCAGAGTGGTTAGGGGCAATCAGGCAGGCAGGCAGGCGAGAGGTTAGGAGCCAGGGGTCCTGGATTGGAGAGGGTGCAGGCCGGACTGAGGGATACCCCCCCCCCCAGCACGAATTTCATGCACTGGGCCTCTAGTACCTATATAATTGCTCTTTGTAAGTGTATACATATAGATACACATGAAAATATTTCAAAGTTCTTTCTTTAACTTACACCTATTTTATTTACTGGCATTTATTAGCAAGTGAAGTAATTTATACTTTGTTTTCTTTGTTTAGATGTGTGCAGGGAGGAACTACTGCAATCCCGGGGGCTTTTGGCTGTGGAAAGACAGTGATTTCGCAGTCTCTGTCCAAGTATTCCAACAGTGATGTAATCATCTATGTAGGATGTGGTGAAAGAGGAAATGAGATGTCTGAAGTCCTCCGCGACTTCCCAGAGGTCTGTATCTATAGAGTTTCAAATAATATTTTAGAGAAAATACTACTAATCAACTTTCACTGGCAATTAATAAAGCTTTGTGTTATATCTAGAGCATTACTCTCATTTATCAAGGATCTTTTAAGGAATTTTCTAATTAGACTCATGATTCAATTTATATATTTAAGGAAAGGAATTTGTTTCAGCCAGACACTTGAAAGTTTCTTTTTGTAGTCTGGTGGCTTTCAGTTATTGGGAGAATATAAAATAGACAATAGGCTTTATATGATTTTCTAGGTAACTGTAGTAATAATATTCCTTTTTCCATAAAATAATGGATTTCACTTAGGAAATGGAAATAATGGCTGTCATTTTTACAGCACAGTGGGACAGGGAGATGAAGTTGGAGTGATGGAGAATATTATTTTGGCAACACTGATTAGAAGAGAAGTTAAATATAGACAGTTTGTAAAAAAGAGACTAAAATGTTCTATTTAGAAAATAGAAGATCACTAATAGATTGTTTGCCTCTAGCTCACAATGGAAGTTGATGGTAAGGTAGAGTCAATTATGAAGAGGACAGCTTTGGTAGCCAATACCTCCAACATGCCTGTGGCTGCCAGGGAAGCCTCTATTTATACTGGTGAGTATATGAATTGGAATAAAAGCAGTTAACATTCATTCTTCAGTTTAGAGCTAACTCCAAACTCTTTCTTTTCCAAAGAACTTTTCTTTCATTCTAAAATACCTCTGTTTATATAACCATATCCCTAGTTTTTAAAAAATATTTTACTTATATCTTGAGAATATGTCAAAAAAGACATTTATAAAGCTGCCCCAATCTTTTTAATGACTATAAAATGATGTATCTTCTATTACTATGTTTTTTTCCTTACACTTTTGACCATCAATCTATCTCTGAATAAACCTGTATCTCTATAACATGAATCATCAGCTTTGAGTTATTATATTTTGACTCCTGGATATGAGAAATAAGAATATCAGGCAGGCAGGCGAGTGGTTAGGAGCCAGCATTCCTGGATTGTGAGAGGGATGTCTGACTGTGGAATCGGGCCTAAACCGGCAGTCAGACATCCCCCGAGGGGTCCCATATTGGAGGCTGGACTGAGGGACACCCCCCCTCCATGCATGAATTTTGTTCACTGGGCCTCTAGTCCCATATAATAAAAGCCTAATGTTCAAATTGACCTAACAGCGGAATGACCAGTGGAATGACCGGTCGCTATGATGTGCACTGACCACCAGGGGGCAGATGCTCAACGCAGGAGCTGCCCCCAGCATGCAGGCCCCAGGCCAGCCAAGGCAGGTGCCAGTGGGGGCCCCCCTGATTGCCCTGCCGGTTGCCCCTCAGAGGGAGGTGACCAGCAGCGGGGAGCGGGGCCAGCAAGCTGGTGGTGGCAGGCTGGTCAAGGTGGGTGCCAGCGGGCCCCCCCTCCCCTCCCCCCGATCGCCAGTCACCCCACAGATTGGCCCTGATCGCCAGCCAGGCCTAGGGACCCTACCCATGCACGAATTTCGTGCACCAGGCCTCTAGTAGTTAATAAACATAAAGAAAAGTTGAAAGAATGTTACAATGAACACCCATACACCCAGCACCTAGAATTATCAATTAACATATTACAATTCTTGCTTTATTAGATGCCTATTTAGTCTGTTTTTCTTAACTGAGCTATATATCGTCTTTCCTAGGTATATTAATCATTTGAAAACTGCTATAATTGGGTCCAAGGAACTCAGTTTTGGATAGTAGTTGTTTTTCCTACTGATTTGTAAAAGCTCTTTGAAATTAGTCTTTTATCTGTCGTGAGTTGCAAATGTTTTCCCAGTTTGTTCATATTTTAGTTTTGTCTGAGGGTTTTGTTTTTTCCCCTCTTGTAGGCACCAATCTTTAAGTCTGTGAAACTTCTTTGAGGCTTACTTGTGTATAAGTCTCTTCTACCAAGTCTTTCCAATATATACACACAATTGTTAGGAATGTCATCAGGGAAACTTAAAAACATAGCCGTGCTTGTATAAAAGCGGATCTGGTCCTATCATCAGATTGAAACATGAAATAATTATTGTGTTTTTTAACCCTTAATAATGATAAGTAATATTTCTTAAAGACTTTGTTCATGGAACCATTTTTTAGAAGCCTCGGAAATCAGTACTTTTTATTCTGAAATAAGTACTATGAAAAATAGTTAAGTGCTGAATTTTCCAACAACTATTTTGTTTTACCTACTATAAGCCTCTGTTTCTTTACTAGTAAAATAAAGGAACTGGAGCCATAGATTTTGAGAGTCTTATAATGTAGCAACAACTATAAATTTCTAATAGCTTAGAGTTGCATAGTTCTTTGTACTTCTTAGAGGGCATTTATATGTGTCATTTAATCTCATGCATATAGGTAGATAGGGCAAGAGCTTTATTATTTTAACATATTAGGAAACCACACTGGGAATGAAGTTACTTAGCTAAGGTCAATGACAGAACAGAAACTAGAATCCAGCACTTCTTCCTATAGATTACCTTCTTCAAAGGGGTTTACAATATGTATGATTTTAGAGGACAGGACTTGATCTGCATAGCAGAATGATCTGGATAATTAAGATATTACTCATGTTAATAATATATGCTACTTTTGAAAAATAACCAAACAAGCTAATTGTTTGAGGGTTTTTTGGTGTGTATATATGTGACACATAGGCAAAAACTATATTGGAAATTAACTTCAAACTTAATTATATTAATAGGGAAAAGAAGAGAGAAAAAGCCTTTTTCAACCTGTTAGAATGTATATCATATTAAGGTAGACTAGGCTGTGGCAACAAATACACCTTAATACAATTACTCAATAATAATAGATATTTATTTAAGGTGGTTAGGGGACTCTTTACTCTGTCATTCTGGGCTGGGACCCAGACTGAAAAGAACTCTTTCATTTCAGTGCAGGCCCTCCAGAGCTCCTGGGAGCTCGCTCCCTCTCAGTAAGCCAGAAGGAAGATGTGGCTTGCCTGGCAGTGAAACACGTTACTTTGATTAGCTACAAGTCAGTTTACACGGCCATATTTAAATGCAAAGGAGGTTATAGGAAATATAATTCATCTGTGTGTCCAAAAGAAGAAGAATAGATTTTGGTGAAACAGCAGATTGGTTCATGTACTTCTTGCTTTAAAGTTTTCTCAAGGGTGAAAAAGTCAGGATTATACATTATAGCATTATAATTTATAGTATTCTTCCCAATTTAGGAATTACATTGTCAGAATATTTCCGTGACATGGGCTATAACGTCAGTATGATGGCTGACTCCACCTCTAGATGGGCTGAGGCCCTTAGAGAAATCTCTGGCCGCTTAGCTGAAATGCCTGCAGGTAAGTCTGTGTATCACTTATTATGTAAGCAAAACTGATAGGTTTTTGGGGACTGCCCTAGTACCTCTCTTTTAAAATTGTTTTTTCATTTTTCAGATAGTGGATATCCTGCATATCTTGGTGCCCGTCTGGCCTCTTTCTATGAGCGAGCAGGCAGGGTGAAATGTCTTGGAAATCCTGAAAGAGAAGGGAGTGTCAGCATTGTAGGAGCGTAAGTACCTAAACTATTTACTTTTCAAAGGAGAAAAAGGGTCATTTATTATTTATTTATTTTAATAGGGTCATTTATTTTGAAGAGAAAATACTTAGCCACTCTGGGAGCAGTGATTCTTACCAAGGTTGCACATCAAAGTCATCCAACGAGCTCTCTAGGTCATTTCTTTATGTTCTGGTTCCACAGATGTGACTTGGCTGATTATTACATTTAAGTCACAATATCCTAGGAACAACTTAGAAAATTATAGACATGTTAAGGTAAGATTATATATATAAAAGGCTAAGTGACCGACCGTCCAACCAACAACCGGCTGGTACATATGACACGCACTGGCAGTTTAAAAATAAATGTTGACTTGCACGTGCGCGATACATGTAAAGCTCTCACTGGCGCCAATCACACACGTGTTTTGATCTGTCATTGTCGATTGTGAATTTGGTTGTTTTTGTTGACATTCAACGTGAACCACAGTGCAATTTATTCATTGACCATCCAACCAACTGGCTGTCCGGTACATATGATGCGCACTGGCAATTTAAAAATAAATGTTGACTCCCGCATGCGCAATACATATAAAGCTCTCACTGGCATCAATCACATGTGTGTTTTAATTTTATGATACTATATTATATATACTATTTTAACATGTAAGTTTTTTCAGTAACGTAATCACCACATGAATTTTCTCCCAATTAATTTCCTTTCAATGTGCACGAATCGTGCACCGGGCCACTAGTATTATGATGAAAACCAAGTGCAGATTCACGATCACTATTTAAAGCACACTTTGTTCTCAGAGCTTGTCTTTCCTTCCTGCTTCATCTGTGTGATTAGAATAATGAAACTGCTTGTAATAAATATCTGTCTCATTTCTCATACTAGCAGGTATTTAATGATTCTTATTTGTTCTGGTTTCTATTTAAGATTTTTATGTAAAATTTTCTTTCCAAAGGTCATTACTAAAGTTATTTATATTAAAAAGCCATTTACATTAAAATTGACTTTCATATAGAAGTTATTTTTCATAAGCATCCCTAATGACTATATTTTTTTCTTTTAAATTTAGAGTTTCTCCACCTGGTGGTGATTTTTCTGACCCAGTTACATCTGCTACTCTTGGTATTGTTCAGGTATATCTTTTCTAGTATAGTTAACTTCCGAGCTTGGCACCACCCTCCACCTCCATGGGGTGTTGTAATGTTACCCAAATCATCATGAAGTATTTAATATAGTCACTAAAGAGTAGGCGATGGTCAAGTCTATTTTAGTGTTTTATGAACATTCTTATCACTGAAAGCCTCAATGCTGTCTGTTCCTTCTTAGCTCTTTACCTGGGGTTTATAATAAATAATATCTATAAGTGGGAAATGTATCTGAGGTAGCAAAGTTTTATTAGCGTTAGAGTAATACTAACCTTTAAGTTAGAGTAATTTTAAAGTATTTTAAAGCAACTTTATTTTTTAATTGATTTTAGAGAGGGGTAGGGAGAGAGAAACATCGATGTGAGAGATAAGCATTAATTGGTTGCCCTGACTGGGAATCAAACCTGACACCTTTGGTGTACATGGCGACACTCCAGCCAAATGAGCCACACTGACCAGGGCGAGTTAGAATAACTTTAGATGTGGAAACAAATGAGCCCCAAAATGTGTAATGGTAAAAACTCAGTGGCAGTTTTTTTCCCCTGCTGGTAGTAATTCAGGGCTCCTTCCATCCTGTGGCTCTACTATCTCCTAGCCTGATAATTGTCTGCATCTGGCCGGCACAAAGGGAACCTAGAGAAGGCACACCTATTTTCTGAACCTTTGGCTCGGACCAGGTACTCCATTCATTCTGCTAGCCAAACCAGACAAAAGCAAAGCTGGAAAAATGTAGTTTCTGCGTAGGCAGATGCTTCCCAAGGCTTAAATGTTAGTGGATAGCTAGCCAACTTAGCCATTAAAAGAAGCCTAAATGAAAGATGTGTACAAATAGGGCTGTGGTGGGGGGAAAAAAGTTGATGTACTCATAAGTATATGTATTATTCATTTGGGAAAAATAAAATATTTGCTTATGTTTTTGTCAATATTATATTAAAGGAAATGGCAGAGGCTAAATTTACAACTCTCAAAGACCTTAACTTTTGCTAAAAAATTGAGTTTTAAATTGTAGGGAAGGGGGGAGCAAGTTAGGGATGTATAAAATACACATGAATGTTTGGCCTCAGAAAAATAACTGTTAGGTCTTACTGGATTGGCCCTTCATGATAGGGAACTAAATTTAACCAGAACATTTAGAGATTTTTTTAATCAAAGGGAGTGTGTATTCTATCTCAATGGGCATTTTCTGGTTCATCTGTTTATATTGCACCATAATAATCTTCAAAACAATAAATTTTTCTTTTTGCTACTTGATTTGATACACTATTAAAGAAATTCAGATAAATTTTGATTTATATGTACTATGCATCCTGAATTGAAAGGAGTATATTTTTTAATTGCAAGTTTTATTCTATTTCAATTATACTTAAACTAAAAATATACATTATTTGCCCCCCAAAATATATGCAATTACATATTAAAACAAAATATATCTCAATAAATTTTTTTAAAACTTTTATTTTTTAAGAGAAATTATTCTTAAAATGATTGAAAGTTTGCTTGTTTTGTTTTTCAATCAGGTGTTCTGGGGCTTAGATAAGAAACTAGCTCAACGTAAGCATTTCCCCTCTGTCAACTGGCTAATCAGCTACAGCAAGTATATGCGTGCCTTGGATGAGTACTATGACAAACACTTCACAGAGTTTGTTCCTCTGAGGACCAAAGCTAAGGAGATCCTGCAGGAAGAAGAAGATCTAGCAGAAATTGTACAGCTTGTGGGAAAGGTGAGTTATAAAATCCCACTGGAGCCCTGACTGGTTTGGCTCAGTGGATAGAGCATCGGCCTGCAGACTAAAGGGTCCCAGGTTCAATTCCGGTCAAGGGCATGTACCTCGGTTGCGGCACATCCCCAGTAAGGAGTGTGCAGGAGGCAGCCGATCGATGTTTCTCTCTCATTGATGTTTCTAACTCTCTATCCCTCTCCCTTCCTCTCTGTAAAAAATCAATAAAATATATTTTTTTAAAAATCCCACTGGAGTGTTGTAAGTACAGCTAGAACGTTGGATATGCAGATTCTGCTTAGCAAAATAAGTACTTACGAAATATTTTTAAACTAATAGCATTTATAGATTATTTCTTTATTTTGGCAGATATTTGAGAGACCTACTTGTGTTGTGAAAGGTAAAATAGTGATTATTGCTTTGATTTTTCTATTGATGAGTAGCAAATCACTCTCACACTTAGTGACTTAAAGTGTTTTATTACTCATGGTTTTGGGTTTGATGGCCTCAGTTGGGTGTTCTTGCTTGGGATCCACATACAGTTGTGGTCATATGATGGCTCAGGCTGGAGTTATTTGAAAGTTTCTTCCTTCACATGTCTTGTGCTGGGGTTGGGATGGCTGGAATAGTTAAGGGTTGGCTGGGCATTTCTGTCTCTATGTAGCATGTTCAGGGCTCTCAAAGTGAGTATTAAAAGAGAAAGAAAGTAGAAGCCACCAGCCTCTTAAGCCAGAGCCCCAAAACTAGTATAATGTGATTTCTGTCATTAATTTGGTCAAAGCAGTTTAGAGAGCTTGCCCACATGCAAGGGGAGGGGCTTTCACTTCAGAGTGGTCAGTTAAGAGAAGTAACTAAATTGTTAGAGCCTTTATATTCTTTTCAGTCACTTATAGCACTTAACATGGTCCTGGTTTTATTGTAGGTGAGAAAAAACTTTTTTTTTAATTCTTTACCCGAGGAGATGTTTATTGATTATATATGGAGGAGGAGGAGGAGAGAGAGGGAAAGAAGAAACATCAGTTGGCTGCACCCCAACCTGAACCCGCAACCTAGGTCCGTGCCCTGACCTTTTGGTATATGGGATGACGCTCCAAGCATCTGAGTTACCCAGCCAAGGCTTGATTTACTTTTATTTCTTGAAATAGACTGTACCTGTCACCAACCGAATTAGAGGGGATAGAAGTAGGATCTATTAAAATACATTTTTTCAGGATCACTATGACTAAGAAAGATTGGATTTGACCCACCATGACCTTCCTAGTTAGAAATCTTGCCTGGCCAGTGTGGCTTGGTGATTGAGCGTCAACCTATGAACCAGGAGGTCACAGTGTGATTCTGGTCAGGGCACATGCCCAGGTTGCAGGCTCCATCCCTGTAGGGGCGTGTAGATAGCAGCCAATCAATGATTGTCTCTAATCATTGATATCTCTCTCTCTCTCTCTCTCTCTCTCTCTCTTTCTCTCTCCCTCTCTCTTCCTTTCTTTCTGAAATCTATAAAAATGTATTTTTTTTAAAAAAGAAAAAGTTCAGGGGAGGTTAATCGGGGTAAAAAAGGAGACATGTAATACTTTAAACAATAAAAGTTGTTGGATTTTGAAAAAAAAGTTATCTACATATCACTAGTTGAATTTTATCCAATATCAAGACTGTTCCTTATTACTTCCAATGTAAATTTTTAATTGTTTCTGCATTTTTAAGCTCATTTAAAATGTTTCACTATCTTTCAACTTTCATTGTCCTTGTATACATTTTTAAAAATAAATTCAGCCTTCTCTCTATAAAAAAAAAAGTTCAAGGATCTGATGTGTGGTTATATAAAAAAAAGAAAGAAAGAAATCTATTATCAGATCACCCTGTGAGGTTACTTTAGATCACTGAACATGTACATACCCCCTTTTTTATCCGCAAGGATTTGTCACAAAAATACAAATACTGTGTGATTCCACTTATATAAGGTATCTAAAGTAGTGAAATTTGTAGAAAAAAGAAAGTAGAATGGTGTTTACCAGAGACTGAGGGGGTGGCGGGGGGAGTAGGAGGAAAATAGAGTTGTTATGTAAACTCTAATGGATATAGAGTTTCAGATTTGTAAAATGAAGTTATGAAAATCTGCCCTAGCTAGTTTGGTTCAGTGGACTGAAGGGTCCCGGGTTCGATTCCAGTCAAGGGCACATGCCCAGGTTGCTAGCTTGATCCCCAGTTAGGGGCATGCAGGAGGCAGCCGATCAATGATTCTCTCTCATCATTGATGTTTCTATCTCTCACTCTTCCTTCCTCTCTGAAATCAACAAAAATATATTTTAAAAAATGTTTGAAAATCTGTTTCACAATAGTGTGAATATATTGTACACTACTGAACAACACTTAAAAAATAGTGAAGATGATAAATTTTGCATTATGTTTTTTACCACAATAAAAGAGAACATCAATAAAAAATAGTTATGAAGTGAATTTATAAATGGTAGATGATTGTGTGTGATCAGATAATTTCTGCTTGCTCATTGATTACAACCATGGTCCCACATTATGGAAGTAAATTTCTAAAATTATATATTTTTTCTCTTCTAGGCTTCTCTAGCAGAAACAGATAAAATTACTCTGGAGGTAGCCAAACTTATCAAAGATGATTTCCTACAACAAAATGGATATACTCCTTATGACAGGTAACCTATCCTGCTATTTCTTCTTTTTTATATATATAATTTTTATTTTTTAATTACAGTTGATGTACAATATTATATTAGCTTCAAGTGTACAACTAGTGATTAGATGTTTATATGCCTTACAAAGTGATCACCTTGATAATTCTAGTATCCATCTGACACTGTACATAGTTATTACAATACTATTGACTATATTTCTTAGGCCGTACATTACATCCCTGTGACTATTCTGTAACTACCAATTTGTACTTCTTAATTCCTTCACCTTTTTCCCCCAACCCACAACCCTAAACCCCTTCATCTGACAACTTTCAAAATGTTTTCTGTATTTATGAGTCTGTTTCTGGTCGGCTTGTTTGTTTATTTATTTTTTTAGATTCCCCATCTAAGTGAAATTATACGACATTTGTCTTTCTCTGTCTGACTTACTTCACTCAGCACAATACCCTCTATGTTGAGCAATGTTGTTGCAGATGGCAAGATTTCATTCTTTTTTATAAGTAACTAAGTCATATTCCATTGTTCGTATACACCACTTCTTTTTTTTTTTAAATATATTTTATTGATTTTTTACAGAGAGGAAGGGAGAGAGATAGAGAGCTAGAAACATCGATGAGAGAGAACCATCGATCAGCTGCCTCCTGCACACTCCCCACTGGGGATGTGCCTGCAACCAAGGTACATGCCCTTGACCGGAATCGAACCTGGGACCTTTCAGTCCGCAGGCCGACACTCTATCCACTGAGCCAAACCAGTTTTGGCCGTATACACCACTTCTTTATCCATTCATCTCTCGATGGACACTTAGGTTGCTTCATATCGTGGCTATTGTAAATAATGCTACAGTGAATATATGGATGTATATATCTTTTTGATTTAGTGTTTTGGATGTCTTCCAATAAATATCTAGAAGTGGAATTGCTGGGTCCTTTGTAGTCTCTTGTTATAGCCTTTGTTTTTAAGTATTTTTATTCATATAAATATTGCTACCCCAGATTTTTTTTCTTATTTTTATGAAGTATCTTTTTCCATCCATTTCCTTTCAGTGTGTGTGTGTCTTTTAATCTGAAATAAATATCTTATAGACAGCCTATGTAGGGATCTCGTTTTGTTATCCACTCAGCCTCCATATCTTCTTTGCTTGGAACATTTGATCAATTTGCATTTAAAGTATTTGCTGATAGATATATATTTATTGCCATAATACTGATTTGGTGGTAATGAACTACTTTAGCTTTTTCTTGTCTGGAAAACTTTTTATTTCTCCTTCAGTTCTTTTTTTTTTTTTTAATATATTTTTATTGATATCAGAAAGGAAGAGAGAGAGATATAGAAACATCAGTGATGAGTGAGAACCATTGATCGGCTGCCTCCTGCACAGCCCCTACTGGGGATTGAGCCCACAACCCAGGCATGTGCCCTTGACCGGAATCGAACCTGGAACCTTCAGTCTGCAAGCCGGCGCTCTATCCACTGAGCCAAACTGGCTGGGACTCTCCTTTCTTAACGATAACTTGCTGAGTAGTGTAATGTTGCTTGTAGGTCTTTGCTTTTTATGACTTTGAATATTTTAGGTCAATCCCTTCTGGTCTGCAAAGTTTCTGTTGAGAAATCAGCTGACAGTCTTATGGGAGCTTTCTGGTGGATAAACTAACTGCTTTTTTCCTGCTGCTTTTAAGGTTTTCTCTGTCTTTAACATTTGACATTTTAATTATGATGTATCTTGGTGTGGGGTTCTTTTGGTTCATCTTGCTTGGGACACTCTGCTTCCTGGACTTGTGTGTCTATTTATTCACCAAGCTAGAAAAATTTTTTGTCATTTTTTCAAATACCTTTTCAATTCCTTCCTCTCCTCCTTCTGGTACCCCCATGATGCATGCAAATGTTAGTATGCTTGAAGTTGCCTCTCAGGCTCCTTAAACTATCCTCATTTTTCTGGATTATTTTTTCTTTTTGCATTCTAATTTTCTGCTTCCTTATCTTCCAAATCTCTGATTTGATCTTCTGCATCACGTATTCTGTAATGTATTCTTCATTTTAGTTAGTATAGCCTTCATTTCTGACTGGTTCTTTTTTATTTTTCTATATCCATTTATCCATTTTTATGTTTTATATCTCTTCGTTGAAATTCTCACTAAGTTCACTGAGCATCCTTATAACCAGTGTTGCTTTTTTTAATTTAAATTCTTTATTGTTTAATGTATTACATAAGTCTCCTTTTTCCCCCATTGACCTCTCCCCGGCCACTTCCATCCCCCAGCACATGCCCTCACCCCCAATCCAACCCCATCTGTGTCCATTGGTTATGCTCATATGCATGCATACAAGTCCTTTATAACCAGTGTTTTGAACTCTGTATCTGGTAGATTGCTTGTCTCCATTTTGTTTAGTTTTTTACTAGAGTTTTGTTCTGTTCTTTTATTTGGGATCTATTTCTTTGTCTCCTCATTTTGGCTCTCTCCCTGTATATGTATTTCTGTATTCGGTAGAGCTGCTACATCTCCTGGTCCTGGTAGAGTGACTCTATGTAGTAGGTGTCTTGTAGGGCCCAGTGGCTTGGTCTCTCTAGTAACTCAAGCTGTGCACTTCCCGTGCCCCCTACCCCCTTGTGGGCCATGTGCATCCTTCTGTTGCAGTTGCGCCTTGATTGCTGTTGACACATCACTAGTTAAGATTTACGCCCAGGCCTATTGGCTGCAAGGAATGCTATGGTTATAGTGGAGGAGCTGCTATGCAGGGGCCCACCTCATGTTGCAGGAATTGCTTCAGCAGGGATCTGGCCCTCAATGACTTTGCCCCTTGAGTGTGTAGCTCGTGGAGGTGGTTCGGTGGTGCTCAGTGTGGTCTGAAGCTGTCCACTGGGTGTGTTGGTTTTGGGCCCTTCCAGGAGGTGCAGGCTAAGGTTAGCTGTTGCCTGTGCCCTGCCTGGGGTCACCTGGCAGGAGCTACAAAGTGATTTGCAGATGGCTACTATTTGTGCTGAGCTTGAAGGTGCTTGGGATAGGCGAAACTAGGAACTGCTGCTTGTGTCGGACCTGGGGCCACTTAGCTAGAGCTAAGCATGCTGAAACTAGAGACTGCTTGTTTGGAATTTGTGAACCTTTGAGCCATTTTGCTAAGTTTGCTTTATGATCCCAGCCAGGCCATTTGTATGTAAAAGTCACTGGAAATAGCAAGTTGGATGGGGCAGCATCTCAGGGAATTATTAAGTTGGGTGAACAACCGGTTGATGGAGACTCAGATATGGCTCCCACCTGCCCACTTTGTGTGGAGAAAGGGCTCAGCAAAGGCACAGTGGCCTCTGCCAGCACTTATGTCTGGGAGAAAGCTGCCCCTCCAGCTCTCACCGTGAATACAGAGAATTCAGTGCCTCCCTGTATGTCCTAGGCACCTTTCATGATGCTGCCCCAGTGCTGGAGCTCAGTGCGGGTGAGTCCGAGTAAGTCCGTGCGTGGGCCCTTTAAGAGGAACTGCCTGGGACTCCAGAATCCTCTGTCTCACTCAGCCACAATCCTTGCTGGTTTTTATAGCCAGAAGTTATGGGGACTATTCTTCCTAGCACTGGATCCCTGGGCTGGGGGGCCTGGTATGGGGATGGGACCCCTTGTTCCTCTGGGAGGCCCTAAGCAACAGAAATATCTCTGATTTTCATCCGACACATGGGTGCGGGACCAGATTGTTTGGAGTCTCCATCCCTCCCACCAGTCCACATGGCTTCTTCTTTATATCCTTATAAAGAATATAGGACTTCTGTCCAGCTAGATTTCAAGTAGTTGGATGTGTGTGCCACATTTACCTACACTGCCAAATTGATTGGAAGCACCACTATTCCTTTTTTATTTGAGGATTTTCTATTGAGGTGTTTTTGGTGTTTTTAGATTTTAAAAAAAATTTTATTTATTGATTTGAGAGAGAGAGATATCAATTTTTTTCCATTTATTTATGCATTCATTGGTTGATTCTTGATTAGAGGTTGGACCTGCAACCTTGGCATATTGGGACAACACTCTAACCGACTGAGCCAGGGCTCTATTGAGTTTTGAAGAAGAAGCTGCCTACATTAAAAACCACTTTTATTTTCATGGCAGACATCTAACCATCTAATAAGTCCCCTTGTCTTAATTTTGCTCATTTGTCCAATTATGACAAACTAGGGGCCCAGTGCACGAAGTCGTGCACCTTGAAAAGGAACTGTGGGCTGAGAGGCTGCGATGGGCATAGGGGTGGGTCTTGGCCCATTCTCTGCGCCCCCATCCAGCCCCTCCCGCCACGGCCCCTGGTTCCCTGTCTGCCGGCAGCCCCGCTCCCACCGCCACTGCTCCCATGTGCTGACAGTGCCAGTCCCGCTCACACCCACTGACAGCGTGGAGCTATTAGGGCCGGTGCCAGCAGCGGGTGTGAGAAGCAGGTGCGAGAAGCGGGTGGGAGAGGCAGCTGCCAACCCCGATCGCCCCTCAGGGGCAGGGGGAGGTGGAGAAGCCCTGAGGGGCGATTGGGGCTGTGGCAGCCGTCGCTCATACTGCTGACAGCACCAAGTGATCAGGGCCGGTGCCGGCCGCTGTCAGCAGGTGCAAGCGCTGGGCGGGACCCCGGCTTGCGGGAGCAAAGAATTTTCAGTAACCACCAGAGGCTGGCCCAGATGACAGCAACTGGCACCCCGCCTTAGTCTGGTGCCCCCACTCACCTACTCCATTATCCCACTGCGGCCGATGCCCGCCATGTTTCATGTACGCCCCCTGGTGGTCAGCGCACAGTTGTTCGGTCTACTTGCATATTAGAGTTTTATATATAGAGATAAGCAAGACCATCTTTAATTAGATTAAATTGTGGCTTAATGTGCAGAGCCTGGGTGGGGATCATTGCCTCCTTCAGAAACTTTTCCCACTATATCTTTCCACTGCCCATGCCTCCTCTACTCTTTTCCTAAATAATTTCTGCTTTCCTGTCTTATTTCACAAGCGTCTGTTCTTTTTTTTTCTACCAAAGTTCCTAATAGGTGCCCTGCCCTAACAGTACTATTATTGTCCTGCTCAGTGCTTGTTTTGTGGGTTGTTTTTTTTTAACTTTTGTGTCTGCTATAACATGGCTTAAAGTTCTTATTTCCTTTAAACTTTGATAATTTGGCCCATTCACCACAGGCTGGCTTTTCCCTCCTCAAATCATATTTGGCCTTATGTAAGACTGAAGAGGGAACTGAACAAATAGGATTTCCAAAATGTAGGACAAGCAGAAAATATGACAATATAATCAGTAAGACTCAAAAATCTATCACAGAAACTTAAGAAGCTCTAGCAACTACCTACACAAACATAACTCAATAAGGGAACAACTCTTTGGAAGGAGTGTGATAGAGAGTATTCATGAAATTATGTATGCAAATGTGTTTAAATATGTCAGAAAGTCGATAAAAGTGTGTGAATACAGTTGAATATTTGCTTGCATGTCTTCATTATTAAAAGATATGGTTAAATGAAAACGAACTCCTTAATGTGGAAGAGGGCTTACTATTAACTTTAGGAAATTGCCATTTCATGTTTCTTATTCATTATACCTTAACCTGCTATCACAAGGGAATCTTTACAACTCAGTTATTTTACAACTTAGGGCAGTGATGGCGAACCTATGACACGCGTGTCAGAGGTGACACGTGAACTCATTTTTTTGGTTGATTTTTCTTTGTTAAATGGCATTTAAATATATAAAATAAATATCAAAAATATAAGTCTTTGTTTTACTATGGTTGCAAATATCAAAAAATTTCTATATGTGACACGGCACCAGAGTTAAGTTAGGGTTTTTCAAAATGCTGACACGCCGAGCTCAAAAGGTTCGCCATCACTGACTTAGGGCATTCCTTTAACAGCATTGTACAAAAACAAATCCTCAAAGAGATTAGATTATAGTAGTACTATTATTGTTCTTAAAATATAAACATCACTTTTTACATTAAAAAATATATTTCTCCATTTACTGTCCATTCCCTATTCTGAGACATCTTTGTCCAAAAACTGGTCTTTTCCACTATTTTTTCATTCATTATATATCATCTAATAATTTTAAGTAATCTGCATATTTAAGTAAAGAAGCTAATGCTCTCATATTTTATAAAGTTTTACATAAAGAATGAACCTGCTTTGGATTTTGTTTTGTTAATTATTTTGGCTATTTTTACCCTAGGTTCTGCCCATTCTACAAGACAGTTGGGATGCTGTCCAACATGATCGCATTTTATGATATGGCCCGTAGAGCTGTTGAAACCACTGCCCAGAGTGACAATAAAATCACATGGTCCATTATCCGTGAGCACATGGGGGAGATCCTCTATAAACTTTCCTCCATGAAATTTAAGGTATATTTAGTTTCTGCTGTAACTTTTTTTTAGTAGGAAATGTTTCTTTTTATTTTTTTTAACTACTTGAGTCCTGAACCTGGTGTATAAAACTTACATTTATCATTTCCACGCATGCTCAGGTTATGTAAAACCAGGGCAGATCTCAAAGTTATGTTCAAATAGGAATGCTGGTGCTAAAAATTATAGTATGTCATGTCTAAAATAAATGCTGATACATCTCTTTTTTTAAAAAAAATATATGTTTATTGATATCAGAGAGGAAGGGAGAGGTAGAGAGAGATAGAAACATCAATGATGAGAGAGAATAATTGATTGCCTCCTGCATTCCCCCTACGGGGGAATCGAGCCCGCAACCCAGGCATGTGCCCTTGACCAGAATTGAACCTGGGACCCCTCAGTCCACAGTTCAATGCTCTATCCACTGAGCCAAACCAGAGAGGGCTCTCTTTTGTTTTAACTGCCAGGCAATTTAGTGCTAAAGTCATTGCTGAGCAGCAATTACTTTACCTCATCTGCCTATTCACATCCAATCCTATGCGCATCCAAAATGACTTCTGTTGTTTACTTCTTTTAAGTATCCTATTACATAATATTTTTAACTTTTAAGTGGACTGTAATTCTTTTGGAAGTACACAGATATAACTAGATAATTAAATGAAATTATCAGTAGAAACTCAAATGTATAGGATTATTTTTAAATATTTTATCAATTGGATTATATTTATTTCTTTTTTTAAAAAAATATATTTTATTGGTTTTTCACAGAGAGGAAGGGAGAGGGATAGAGAGTTAGAAACACTGATGAGAGAGAAAGATCCATCAGCTGCCTCCTGCACGCCC